GTGTACTATGTGTGTGTGTACTATGTGTGTGTACTATGTGTGTGTGTGTGTACTATGTGTGTGTACTATGTGTGTGTGTGTGTACTATGTGTGTGTACTATGTGTGTGTGTGTACTATGTGTGTGTACTATGTGTGTGTACTATGTGTGTGTACTATGTGTGTGTACTATGTGTGTGTGTACTATGTGTGTGTGTGTGTACTATGTGTGTGTACTATGCGTGTGTGTACTATGTGTGTGTGTGTGTACTATGTGTGTGTACTGTGTGTGTGTGTACTATGCGTGTGTGTACTATGTGTGTGTGTGTGTACTATGTGTGTGTACTATGTGTGTGTACTATGTGTGTGTACTATGTGTGTACTATGTGTGTGTACTATGTGTGTACTGTGTGTGTGTGTACTATGTGTGTGTACTATGTGTGTGTGTGTGTACTATGTGTGTGTACTATGTGTGTGTACTATGTGTGTGTGTGTGTACTATGTGTGTACTGTGTGTGTACTATGTGTGTGTGTACTATGTGTGTGTACTATGTGTGTGTGTGTGTGTACTATGTGTGTGTACTATGTGTGTGTGTGTGTACTATGTGTGTGTACTATGTGTGTGTGTGTACTATGCGTGTGTACTGTGTGTGTGTGTGTACTATGTGTGTACTATGTGTGTACTATGTGTGTGTACTATGTGTGTGTACTATGTGTGTACTATGTGTGTGTACTATGTGTGTGTACTATGTATGTGTGTGTGTACTATGTGTGTACTATGTGTGTACTATGTGTACTATGTGTGTGTACTATGTGTGTGTACTGTGTGTGTACTATGTGTGTGTGTACTATGTGTACTATGTGTGTGTACTATGTGTGTACTATGTGTGTACTATGTGTGTGTGTGTACTGTGTGTGTGTACTATGTGTGTACTATGTGTGTACTATGTATGTGTGTACTATGTATGTGTTTACTATGTGTGTGTACTATGTGTGTACTATGTGTGTGTGTACTATGTGTGTGTGTACTATGTGTGTACTATGTGTGTGTACTATGTGTACTATGTGTGTACTACGTGTGTGTGTACTATGTGTGTACTGTGTGTGTACTATGTGTGTGTACTATGTGTGTACTATGTGTGTGTACTATGTGTGTGTACTATGTGTACTATGTGTATACTTTGTGTGTGTGTACTATGTGTGTACTATGTGTGTACTATGTGTGTGTACTATGTGTACTATGTGTGTACTATGTGTGTACTATGTGTGTGTGTACTATGTGTGTACTATGTGTGTGTGTACTATGTGTGTACTATGTGTGTATGTGTGTGCTATGCGTGTACTATGCGTGTACTATGTGTGTGTACTATGTGTGTACTATGCGTGTGTGTGTGTACTATGTGTGTACTCTGTGTGTGTGTACTATGTGTGTGTGTGTACTATGTGTGGGTGTACTATGTGTGTACTGTGTGTGTGTGTGTACTATGTGTGTGTACTATGTGTGTGTACTATATGTGTACTATGTGTGTACTATGTGTGTACTATGTGTGTGTGTGTGTACTATGTGTGTACTATGTGTGTGTGTGTACTATGTGTGTGTACTATGTGTGTACTATGTGTGTGTACTATGTGTGTGTACTATGTGTGTGTACTATGTGTGTGTACTATGTGTGTGTACTATGTGTGTACTATGTGTGTACTATGTGTGTGTGTACTATGTGTGTACTATGTGTGTACTATGTGTGTGTACTATATGTGTGTACTATGTGTGTGTACTATGTGTGTGTACTATGTGTGTGTACTATGTGTGTGTGTACTATGCGTGTACTATGTGTGTGTGTGTGTGTACTATGTGTGTGTGTGTACTATGTGTGTACTATGTGTGTGTGTGTACTATGTGTGTGTACTATGTGTGTGTACTATGTGTGTGTGTGTGTGTGTACTATGTGTGTGTGTACTATGTGTGTGTACTATGTGTGTACTATGTGTGTGTGTGTACTATGTGTGTGTGTGTACTATGCGTGTGTGTGTACTATGTGTGTGTGTGTACTATGTGTGTACTATGTGTGTACTATGTGTGTGTGTACTATGTGTGTGTGTACTATGTGTGTACTATGTGTGTGTGTGTACTATGTGTGTGTGTGTACTATGCGTGTGTGTGTACTATGTGTGTGTACTATGTGTGTGTGTGTACTATGTGTGTACTATGTGTGTACTATGTGTGTGTGTACTATGTGTGTGTGTACTATGTGTGTGTACTATGTGTGTGTGTGTACTATGCGTGTGTGTGTACTATGTGTGTGTACTATGTGTGTGTACTATGTGTGTGTACTATGTGTGTGTGTACTATGTGTGTGTACTATGTGTGTGTGTACTATGTGTGTACTATGTGTGTGTGTGTACTGTGTGTGTGTACTATGTGTGTGTGTGTACTATGTGTGTGTGTGTACTATGTGTGTGTGTGTACTATGTGTGTGTGTGTACTATGTGTGTGTACTATGTGTGTGTGTACTATGTGTGTGTACTATGTGTGTGTACTATGTGTGTGTGTACTATGTGTGTGTACTATGTGTGTGTGTGTGTACTATGTGTGTGTGTGTACTATGTGTGTGTGTGTACTATGTGTGTGTACTATGTGTGTGTGTGTACTATGTGTGTGTGTGTACTATGTGTGTGTACTATGTGTGTGTACTGTGTGTGTACTATGTGTGTGTACTATGTGTGTGTACTATGTGTGTGTACTATGCGTGTGTGTACTATGCGTGTGTGTACTATGTGTGTGTGTACTATGTGTGTGTACTGTGTGTGTACTATGTGTGTGTACTATGCGTGTGTGTACTATGTGTGTGTGTACTATGTGTGTGTGTACTATGTGTGTGTGTACTATGTGTGTGTACTATGTGTGTGTACTATGTGTGTGTACTATGTGTGTGTACTATGTGTGTGTACTATGTGTGTACTATGTGTGTACTATGTGTGTGTACTATGTGTGTGTGTGTACTATGTGTGTGTACTATGTGTGTACTATGTGTGTGTACTATGTGTGTGTACTGTGTGTGTGTGTGTACTATGTGTGTACTATGTGTGTGTACTATGTGTGTGTACTATGTGTGTGTACTATGTGTGTACTATGTGTGTGTGTGTGTACTATGTGTGTACTATGTGTGTGTGTGTGTACTATGTGTGTACTATGTGTGTACTATGTGTGTGTGTGTGTGTACTATGTGTGTGTACTATGCGTGTGTGTACTATGTGTGTGTGTACTATGTGTGTGTACTATGTGTGTACTATGTGTGTGTGTACTATGTGTGTGTACTATGTGTGTGTGTACTATGTGTGTGTGTGTGTACTATGTGTGTGTACTATGCGTGTGTGTACTATGTGTGTGTGTGTGTGTACTATGTGTGTGTACTGTGTGTGTGTGTACTATGCGTGTGTGTACTATGTGTGTGTGTGTGTACTATGTGTGTGTACTATGTGTGTGTACTATGTGTGTGTACTATGTGTGTACTGTGTGTGTGTGTACTATGTGTGTGTACTATGTGTGTGTGTGTGTACTATGTGTGTGTACTATGTGTGTGTACTATGTGTGTGTGTGTGTACTATGTGTGTACTGTGTGTGTACTATGTGTGTGTGTACTATGTGTGTGTACTATGTGTGTGTGTGTGTACTATGTGTGTGTACTATGTGTGTGTGTGTGTACTATGTGTGTGTACTATGTGTGTGTGTGTACTATGTGTGTGTACTATGTGTGTGTACTATGTGTGTACTATGTGTGTGTGTGTGTGTACTATGTGTGTGTGTGTACTATGTGTGTGTACTATGTGTGTGTACTATGTGTGTGTACTATGTGTGTGTACTATGTGTGTGTGTACTATGTGTGTGTGTGTGTACTATGTGTGTGTACTATGCGTGTGTGTACTATGTGTGTGTGTGTGTACTATGTGTGTGTACTGTGTGTGTGTGTACTATGCGTGTGTGTACTATGTGTGTGTGTGTGTACTATGTGTGTGTACTATGTGTGTGTACTATGTGTGTGTACTATGTGTGTACTATGTGTGTGTACTATGTGTGTACTGTGTGTGTGTGTACTATGTGTGTGTACTATGTGTGTGTGTGTGTACTATGTGTGTGTACTATGTGTGTGTACTATGTGTGTGTGTGTGTACTATGTGTGTACTGTGTGTGTACTATGTGTGTGTGTACTATGTGTGTGTACTATGTGTGTGTGTGTGTGTACTATGTGTGTGTACTATGTGTGTGTGTGTGTACTATGTGTGTGTACTATGTGTGTGTGTGTACTATGCGTGTGTACTGTGTGTGTGTGTGTACTATGTGTGTACTATGTGTGTACTATGTGTGTGTACTATGTGTGTGTACTATGTGTGTACTATGTGTGTGTACTATGTGTGTGTACTATGTATGTGTGTGTGTACTATGTGTGTACTATGTGTGTACTATGTGTACTATGTGTGTGTACTATGTGTGTGTACTGTGTGTGTACTATGTGTGTGTGTACTATGTGTACTATGTGTGTGTACTATGTGTGTACTATGTGTGTACTATGTGTGTGTACTATGTGTGTGTGTACTATGTATGTGTGTGTGTACTATGTGTGTGTGTGTGTACTATGTGTGTGTACTATGTGTGTGTGTACTATGTGTGTGTACTGTGTGTGTGTACTATGTGTGTGTGTACTGTGTGTGTGTACTATGTGTGTGTGTACTATGTGTGTGTACTATGTGTGTGTGTGTGTACTATGTGTGTGTTCTATGTGTGTGTACTATGTGTGTACTATGTGTGTACTATGTGTGTACTATGTGTGTACTATGTGTGTGTACTATGTGTGTGTACTATGTGTGTACTATGTGTGTACTATGTGTGTACTATGTGTGTGTACTATGTGTGTGTGTGTACTATGTGTGTGTACTATGTGTGTACTATGTGTGTACTATGTGTACTATGTGTGTGTGTACTATGTGTACTATGCGCGTGTGTGCTCCCTGCCTGTGCACTCTGCAGCAGACACAGATCCCCGACTACGCCGAGCTCATGGTCAAGTTCCTGGAGGCGCTGATGGACACCTACCTGCCGGGCATCGAGGAGGAGGAGGTTGCCGGGGACGACTCCCAGGGCCTCACGCCCACCTCACCGCACCCTCCCTCGGGGCAGCCGGCCGGCCACGCCGGCCACGCCGGCCACGCCGGCCACGGCGTCGGTGCCGGGGCCGGGGCCGATCCGGACGCTTCCGCGGCGTCGCTGGCGGCCGCTCAGGGCTCACCGCAGATTGGTGAGGACCCGCTCAGTCGCTCACTCGCTCAGTCACTCGCTCAGTCGCTCGCTCGCTCGCTCACCAAGTCGCTCGCTCACTCGCTCACTCATTCACCAAGTCACTCGCTCGCTCGCTCATTCACTCACCAAGTCATTCGCTCTCTCGCTCACTCATTCACCAAGTCATTCGCTCACTCGCTCACTCATTCACCAAGTCATTCGCTCGCTCGCTCACTCACTCACCAAGTCATTCGCTCACTCGCTCACTCACTCACCAAGTCATTCGCTCACTCACTCACTCATTCACCAAGTCACTCGCTCGCTCGCTCGCTCAGTCGCTCGCTCGCTCACTCACCAAGTCATTCGCTCACTCGCTCACTCACTCACCAAGTCATTCGCTCACTCGCTCACTCATTCACCAAGTCATTCGCTCACTCGCTCACTCACTCACCAAGTCATTCGCTCACTCTCGCTCACTCATTCACCAAGTCATTCGCTCACTCGCTCACTCATTCACCAAGTCATTCGCTCGCTCGCTCACTCACTCACCAAGTCATTCGCTCACTCGCTCACTCATTCACCAAGTCACTCGCTCGCTCGCTCGCTCAGTCGCTCGCTCACTCACTCACCAAGTCATTCGCTCACTCGCTCACTCATTCACCAAGTCATTCGCTCACTCGCTCACTCATTCACCAAGTCATTCGCTCACTCGCTCACTCACTCACCAAGTCATTCGCTCACTCGCTCACTCATTCACCAAGTCACTCGCTCGCTCGCTCAGTCGCTCGCTCACTCACTCACCAAGTCATTCGCTCACTCGCTCACTCATTCACCAAGTCATTCGCTCACTCGCTCACTCATTCACCAAGTCACTCGCTCGCTCGCTCGCTCAGTCGCTCGCTCACTCACTCACCAAGTCATTCGCTCACTCGCTCACTCATTCACCAAGTCATTCGCTCACTCGCTCACTCACTCACCAAGTCATTCGCTCGCTCACTCGCTCAGTCGCTCGGTCGCTCACTCACCAAGTCATTCGCTCACTCGCTCACTCACTCACCAAGTCATTCGCTCGCTCACTCGCTCAGTCGCTCGGTCGCTCACTCACCAAGTCATTCGCTCACTCGCTCACTCACTCATCAAGTCACTCGCTCACTCGCTCACTCACTCACCAAGTCATTCGCTCACTCGCTCACTCATTCACCAAGTCATTCGCTCACTCGCTCACTCACTCACCAAGTCATTCGCTCACTCGCTCACTCATTCACCAAGTCACTCGCTCACTCGCTCACTCACTCACCAAGTCACTCGCTAGCTCGCTCACTCACCAAGTCATTCGCTCACTCGCTCACTCATTCACCAAGTCACTCGCTCGCTCGCTCACTCACCAAGTCACTCGCTAGCTCGCTCACTCACCAAGTCACTCACTAGCTCGCTCACTCACCAAGTCACTCGCTAGCTCACTCAGTTACACACTCACTCAGTCACTTGCTCGCTCACTCCTCGCTCGCTCGCTCACTCACTCACTCGCTAGCTCACTCACTCGCTCACTCACTCGCTCACTCACTCACTCGCTCACTCGCTCACTCACTCACTCGCTAGCTCACTCACTCGCTCGCTCGCTCACTCACTCCTCGCTCACTCCTCGCTCACTCCTCGCTCACTCACTCGCTCGCTCCCTCGCTCGCTCGCACACTCGCTCACTTGCTCGCTCACTCACTCACTCAGTCGCTCACTCACTCACTCAGTCGCTCACTCACTCACTCAGTCGCTCAGTCACTCGCTCACTCACTCGCTCAGTCACTCGCTCACTCACTCGCTCGCTCACTCAGTCGCTCAGTAACAGAGCCAACTCACTCCCCCCTCCCCCAGTCTCCGACAAGCCTCCCACCGCCTCCGCTGAGCCAACTGCACCGGCGTTGCCACCGTCGGCCGCTTGCGCCGGGAGCACCGCCGCTGTCGCCGGCGGCGGCGACAGCGCCGTCACCGTCACCGGCGCCGGCGACGGTGACGGTGACGGTGACGGTGACGGCGTCCCCCGGACACGCCACGCCACACCCGGCCAGGTGCAGAAGCAGCGGAGTTCCGGCAGCTTCCAGCGGCACAACCCCAACAAGGTCACGTGAAGCCACGTGGGGGAGGAGTCACGGGGGGGGGGGGGGGAGGAGTCACGTGAAGCCACGTGGGGGGGGGGAGGAGTCACGTGGGGGGGGAGGAGTCACGTGAAGCCACGTGGGGGAGGAGTCACGGGGGGGGGGAGGAGTCACGTGAAGCCACGGGGGGGAGGAGTCACGTGAAGCCACGTGGGGGAGGAGTCACGGGGGGGGGAGGAGTCACGTGGAGCCACGGCGGGGGAGGAGTCACGTGTAGCCACGGAGGGGAGGAGTCACGTGTAGCCACGGGGGGGGGAGGAGTCACGTGAAGCCACGGGGGGGGGGAGGAGTCACGTGTAGCCATGGGGGGGGGGGAGGAGTCACGTGTAGCCATGGGGGGGGGGAGGAGTCACGTGAAGCCACGGGGGGGGGGAGGAGTCACGTGTAGCCATGGGGGGGGGGAGGAGTCACGTGAAGCCACGGGGGGGGGAGGAGTCACGTGAAGCCACGGGGGGGAGGAGTCACGTGAAGCCATGGGGGGGAGGAGTCACGGGGGGGAGGAGTCACGTGAAGCCACGGGGGGGAGGAGTCACGTGGAGCCACGTGGGGGAGGAGTCACGTGAAGCCATGGGGGGGAGGAGTCACGGGGAGGGGTCACGTGAATCACGGGGGGAGGAGTCACGTGTAGCCATGGGGGGGGGAGGAGTCACGTGGAGCCATGGGGGGGAGGAGTCACGGGGAGGGGTCACGTGAATCACGGGGGGAGGAGTCACGTGTAGCCATGGGGGGGGGAGGAGTCACGTGGAGCCACGGGGGGGAGGAGTCACGTGAAGCCACGGGGGGGAGGAGTCACGTGAAGCCACGGGGGGGAGGAGTCACGTGAAGCCACGGGGGGAGGAGTCACGTGAAGCCACGGGGGGAGGAGTCACGTGAAGCCACGGGGGGGAGGAGTCACGTGGAGCCACGGGGGGGAGGAGTCACGTGTAGCTACGGGAGGGAGGAGTCACGTGAATCACGGGGGGAGGAGTCACGTGAATCACGGGGGGAGGAGTCACGTGAAGCCACGGGGGGAGGAGTCACGTGTAGCCACGGGGGGGGGGGAGGAGTCACGTGAAGCCACGGGGGGGGGAGGAGTCACGTGAAGCCACGGGGGGAGGAGTCACGTGAAGCCACGGGGGGGAGGAGTCACGTGTAGCTACGGGAGGGAGGAGTCACGTGAATCACGGGGGGAGGAGTCACGTGAATCACGGGGGGAGGAGTCACGTGAAGCCACGGGGGGAGGAGTCACGTGTAGCCACGGGGGGGGGGAGGAGTCACGTGTAGCCACGGGGGGGGGGGGGAGGAGTCACGTGAAGCCACGGGGGGGGGGGAGGAGTCACGTGAAGCCACGGGGGGGGGGGAGGAGTCACGTGAAGCCACGGGGGGAGGAGTCACGTGTAGCCACGGGGGTGGGGGAGGAGTCACGTGTAGCCATGGGGGGGAGGAGTCACATGAAGCCACGTGGGGAGGAGTCACGTGAATCACGGGGGGAGGAGTCACGTGAATCACGGGGGGAGGAGTCACGTGTAGCCATGGGGGGAGGAGTCACGTGAATCACGGGGGGAGGAGTCACGTGAATCACGGGGGGAGGAGTCACGTGAATCACGGGGGGAGGAGTCACGTGTAGCCATGGGGGGGGGAGGGGTCACGTGAAGCCACCACCATCTCCACCATCATCACCTCCACCACCACAGCCGCCATCTTTCCTCGTCGCCCCTCCTGTCTCTCGTCGTTCCGGCCCGCGCCCAGGTCACGCGGGGGTCACACGGGGGTCACGCGGGGGTCAATGTGCTTCATTATAACCCCCCAGCCCCTCCCCCCCCCGCTTTACCCCTCCCCTCACCTCCCTTGACCCCACAAGTACCCCCTTGACCCCAGAAGTACCCCCTTGACCCCACAAGTACCCCCCTCGACCCCACAAGTACCCCCCTTGACCCCCCTCGACCCCACAAGTACCCCCTTGACCCCACAAGTACCCCCCTTGACCCCACAAGTACCCCCCTGGACCCCCCACGACCCCACAAGTACCCCCCTTGACCCCACAAGTACCCCCCTTGACCCCACAAGTACCCCCCTGGACCCCCCTCGACCCCACAAGTACCCCCCTTGACCCCACAAGTACCCCCCTTGACCCCACAAGTACCCCCCTTGACCCCCCTCGACCCCACAAGTACCCCCTTGACCCCACAAGTACCCCCCTTGACCCCACAAGTACCCCCCTTGACCTCCCTCGACCCCACAAGTACCCCCCTTGACCCCACAAGTACCCCCCTTGACCCCACAAGTACCCCCCTTGACCCCCCTCGACCCCACAAGTACCCCCTTGACCCCCCTCGACCCCACAAGTACCCCCCTTGACCCCCCTTGACCCCCCTCGACCCCACAAGTACCCCCCTTGACCCCCCTCGACCCCCCTCGACCCCACAAGTACCCCCCTTGACCCCACAAGTACCCCCCAAGTACCCCACAAGTACCCCCCTTGACCCCACAAGTACCCCCCTTGACCCCACAAGTACCCCCCTTGACCCTACAAGTACCCCCCTTGACCCCCCTCGACCCCACAAGTACCCCCTTGACCCCCCTTGACCCCACAAGTACCCCCCTCGACCCCCCTCGACCCCCCTCGACCCCACAAGAACCCCCCTTGACCCCTCTCGACCCCGCAAGTACCCCCCTTGACCCCACAAGTACCCCCCTTGACCCCACAAGTACCCCCCTTGACCCCACAAGTACCCCCCTTGACCCCACAAGTACCCCCCTTGACCCCACAAGTACCCCCTCGACCCCCCTTGACCCCACAAGTACCCCCCTCGACCCCCCTTGACCCCACAAGTACCCCCCTTGACCCCACAAGTACCCCCCTTGACCCCACAAGTACCCCCCTTGACCCCCCTTGACCCCACAAGTACCCCCCTTGACCCCACAAGTACCCCCCTTGACCCCACAAGTACCCCCCTTGACCCCACAAGTACCCCCCTCGACCCCACAAGTACCCCCCTTGACCCCCCTTGACCCCACAAGTACCCCCTCGACACTACAAGTATCCCCTTGACCCCACACGTACCCCACAAGTACCCCACAAGTACCCCCCTCGACCCCACAAGTACCCCCCTCGACCCCACAAGTACCCTCCTCGACCCCACAAGTACCCCCCTTGACCCCCCTCAACCCTACAAGTACCCCCTTGACCCCACAAGTATCCCCTTGACCCCACAAGTACCCACTTGACCCCACAAGTACCCCCCTCGACCCCACAAGTACCCCCCTTGACCCCCACAAGTACCCCCCTTGACCCCACAAGTACCCCCCTTGACCCCCCTCGACCCCACAAGTACCCCCTCGGCTCCCAGTATTTTTGTTAAGTACCCCCCCCTTGCCCCTCCCCTCCCCCCAGCACCCCGTGATGTATTTTTAAGGTTATTAAAGACGTGTACTGTACACCAAGAGTGTCACGTGTCCTTGGTTTGACATACTTCCCCACACTGGTGCCGGGGTATTAGGATATGTTGACTACCTCGCCTGATACGCGGGAGGTCGTGAGTTCTATCCCAGGCCCTGTGAGATGTTGACTGGTGGGTGGGTGAGTGGGTGGGTTGGTCTGTGGGTGAGTGAGTGGGTGGGTGGGTGAGTGAGTGGGTGAGTGGATGAGTGGGTGGGTGGGTAAGTGGGTGAGTGAGTGGGTGAGTGGGTGGGTGAGTGAGTGGGTGGGTGAGTGAGTAAGTAAGTGGGTGAGTGAGTGGGTGGGTGAGTGAGTGGGTGAGTGAGTGGGTGGGTGAGTAAGTGGGTGAGTGAGTGGGTGGGTGGGTGAGTGAGTGGGTGGGTGAGTGAGTGGGTGAGTGAGTGGGTCAGTGGGTTGGTGAGTGGGTGGGTGGGTGAGTGGGTGGGTGAGTGAGTGAGTAAGTGGGTGGGTGAGTGGGTGGGTGGGTGAGTGGGTGAGTGGGTAGGTGAGTGAGTGGGTGGGTGAGTGAGTGGGTGGGTGAGTGGGTTGGTGAGTGGGTGGGTGGGTGAGTGAGTGAGTGGGTGAGTGAGTGGGTGGGTGAGTGAGTGGGTGGGTGGGTTGGTGAGTGGGTGGGTAAGTGAGTGAGTGGGTGGGTGAGTGAGTGAGTGGGTGAGTGGGGTGGTGAGTGAGTGGGTGAGTGGGTGGGTGAGTGGGTGGGTGAGTGAGTGAGTGGGTGGGTGAGTGAGTGGGTGGGTGAGTGAGTGAGTAAGTGGGTGAGTGAGTGGGTGGGTGGGTGAGTGGGTGGGTGAGTGAGTGGGTGGGTGAGTGAGTGGGTGGGTGAGTGGGTTGGTGAGTGGGTGGGTGGGTGAGTGAGTGAGTGGGTGAGTGAGTGGGTGGGTGAGTGGGTGGGTGGGTTGGTGAGTGGGTGGGTAAGTGAGTGAGTGGGTGAGTGAGTGGGTGAGTGGGGTGGTGAGTGAGTGGGTGAGTGAGTGGGTGGGTGAGTGAGTGGGGTGAGTGGGTGGGTGAGTGAGTGAGTGGTGAGTGGGGTGGTGAGTGAGTGAGTGGGGTGGTGTAGAGAACGTCGCCACTGGGGGAAAAAACAAAGGCGGCCGGGCGTGGGGCCATGGCAGGAAGGGGAGGAGTCCATGGAGTGGGAGGGGCCATGGGAGGAAGGGGAGGAGTGAATGTTAATGGGAGGGGCTATGGGTGGAAGGGGAGGAGTCCATGGAGTGGGAGGGACCATGGAAGGAAGGGGAGGAGTCCACGTTAGTGGGAGGGGGGTGGGGTTTTGGAGGATGGGGAGGAGTCCATGGAGTGGGAGGGGCTATGAAAGGAAAGGGAGGAGTCTGCTATTGGGAGGGGCCATAGGAATAAGGAGAGGAGTCCATCGAGTGGGAGAGGCAATGGGAGGAAGGGGAGGAGTCCATGTTAGTCGGAGCGGCGTAAGGCCATGGGAGGAAGGGGAGGAGTCAATTTTAGTGGGAGGGGCGTGGGGCCATGGGAGGACGGGGAGGAGTCCACGTTAGTGGGCGTGACCATGAGAGGAAGGGGAGGAGTCAATTTTAGTGGGAGGGGCGTGGGGCCGTGACAGGACGGGGAGGAGTCCACGTTAGTGGGCGTGACCATGGGAGGAAGGGGAGGAGTCAATGTTAGTAGGAGGGGCGTGGGCCATGGCAGGACGGGGATGAGTCCATGCTAGTGGGCGTGGTCTAGACAGGAAAAGGAGGAGTCAATGTTAGTGAGGGAGAGGGGGCGTGGGCCATGGCAGCAAGACCCCCACGTTAGTGGGCGTGGCCATGACAGGAAGGGGAGGAGTCAATGTTAGTGAGGGAAAGGGGGCGCGGGCCATGGCAGCAAAGAGGCCTCACGTTTAGTGGGCGTGGCCATGACAGGAAGGGGAGGAGTCAGTGTTAGTGGGCGTGGCGTGGGGGGGGGTAGTAGTAAAGCAATGGCGGCTATCAGCGCGTTCCCTCTGCCCCTGAGGGAGCTTCCCTCACTTCGATTTTCCCGCCTCTGAGACTTTCACCTCGGGCGAGCTGCAGATTCGTCCCCCTGAGGCGAAGTCGATGTCAGCCGACGCCACGGACCCCGAATCGGCGGCAGCTTCTGCCGCGAACTCTGCTGCCCGGAGTTCTGCCGCTACGGCCGTCCACGGCTCCCGTCTCGCCTTCGTCACGGTAACACGGAGGGTGTCAACGTCGTCAACGTCGTACACCTCATCATCATCGTCATCATACACTACCTCATCGTCATCGTCATCATACACTACCTCATCATCATCATACACTACCACCACTTCATCGTCATCATACACTACCACCTCATCATCATCATACACTACCACCACCTCATCATCATACACTACCACCACCTCATCATCATACACTACCACCACCTCATCATCATACAATACCACCACCTCATCATCATCATCATACACTACTACCACCACATCATCATCATACACTACCGCCACCTCATCATCATCATACACCACCTCATCATCATCATACACTACCTCATCATCATACACTACCACCACCTCATCATCATCATACACTACCTCATCATCATCATACACTACCACCACCTCATCATCATACACCACCTCATCATCATACACTACCACCACTTCATCGTCATCATACACCACCTCATCATCATACACTACCACCACTTCATCGTCATCATACACCACCTCATCATCATACACTACCACCACTTCATCGTCATCATACACCACCTCATCATCATACACTACCTCATCATCATCATACACCACCTCATCATCGTCATCATACACTACCTCATCATCATCATCATACACTACCACCACCTCATCATCATCATACACTACCACCACCTCATCATCATCATACACTACCTCATCACCATACACTACCACCACCTCATCGTCATCATACACCACCTCATCATCATACACCACCTCATCATCATACACTACCTCATCATCATCATACACTACCTCATCACCATACACTACCACCACCTCATCATCATACACCACCTCATCATCGTCATCATACACTACCTCATCATCATCATACACTACCACCACCTCATCATACACCACCTCATCATCATTGTCATACACTACCTCATCATCATACACCACCTCATCATCGTCATCATACACTACCTCATCATCATACACTACCACCACCTCATCATACACCACCTCATCATCATTGTCATACACTACCTCATCATCATACACTACCTCATCGTCATCATACACTACATAATCATCATACACCACCTCATCATCATACACTACCATCACCTCATCATCATCATACACTACCACCACATCACCATCATACACTACCGCCACCTCATCATCGTCATCATACACTACCTCATCATCGTCATACACTACATCATCATCGTCGTCATACACTACCTCATCATCATACACTACCACCACTTCATCGTCATCATACACTACCACCTCATCATCATCATACACCACATCATCATCATACACTACCACCACTTCATCGTCATCATACACTACCACCTCATCATCGTCATCATACACTACCTCATCATCATCATCATACACTACCACCTCATCATCGTCATCATACACTACCACCACCACATCATCATACACCACATCATCATCATACACCACATCATACACCACCTCATCATCATCATACACTACCTCATCGTCATACACCACATCATCATCATACACCACCTCATCATCATCATACACCACCTCATCATCATCATACACTACCTCATCGTCATACATCACATCATCATCATACACCTCATTATCATCATCCACCGCCTCATCCATCACCTCATCCACCACCTCATCCACCACCTCATCATCCACCACTTCATCATCATCCACCACCTCATCCACCACATCATCCACCACCTCATCCACCACCTCATCCACCACCTTATCATCCACCACCTCATCATCCACCACCTCATCCACCACCTCATCATCCACCTCATCCACCTCATCATCCACCACCCCATCATCCACCACCTCATAATCCACCTCATAATCCACCTCATAATCCACCACCTCATCCACCTCATCATCCACCACCTCATCATCCACCACCTCATCCACCACCTCATCATCCACCACCTCATCATCCACCTCATCCACCTCATCATCCACCACCCCATCATCCACCACCTCATAATCCACCTCATAATCCACCACCTCATCCACCTCATCATCCACCTCATCCACCACCTCCTCCACCTCATCATCCACCACCTCATCCACTTCATCATCCACCACCTCATCATCCACCTCCTCCACCTCATCATCCACCTCATCATCCACCACCACCTCATCATCCACCACCTCATCCACCTCATCCACCTCATCCACCACCTCCTCCACCTCATCATCCACCTCATCCACCTCATCATCCACCTCATCCACCACCTCCTCCACCTCATCATCCACCTCATCCACCTCATCATCCACCTCATCCACCACCTCCTCCACCTCATCATCCACCACCTCATCATCCACCTCGTCGCCTGCTCCTTGTGTCTCCCGTGGCGTCAGTGCGCGAGTCCGCTGAGTTTGCCCGCTGCCGACGACTACGTGAAGATCAACGTGGGCGGCTGCCTCTTCCACGCCGCCTTGCGTACGGTGACACGGAGAGACGGCCTGCTGAGGGCCATGTTCAGCGGGCACTTGGAGGTGTTTACAGACAGCGAAGGTGGTGACTGGGAGGGTCTAGTCACTCACTCGCTCACTCAGTCACTCAGTCACTCAATCACTCACTCAGTCATTGAGTCACTCAGTCACTCACTCACTCAGTCACTCAGTCACTCAATCACTCACTCACTCACTCAGTCACTGAGTCACTCACTCAGTCAGTCACTCAGTCACTCAGTCACTCACTGAGTCACTCAGTCACTCACTCAGTCAGTCACTCACTCAGTCAGTCACTCAGTCACTGAGTCAGTCACTGACTTACTGACTGACTCCACGCCGCCTTGCGTACGGTGACACGGAGAGACGGCCTGCTGAGGGCCATGTTCAGCGGGCACTTGGAGGTGTTTACAGACAGCGAAGGTGGTGACTGGGAGGGTCTAGTCACTCACTCGCTCACTCAGTCATTGAGTCACTCAGTCAGTCACTCACTCGCTCAGTCAGTCACTCACTCACTCAGTCACTCACTCAGTCATTGAGTCACTCAGTCACTCACTCAGTCACTCAGTCACTCACTCAGTCAGTCACTCAGTCACTCAGTCAGTCACTCACTCAGTCACTCACTCATTCACTCAATCACTCACTCAGTCAGTCAGTCACTCACTCAGTCACTCAGTCAGTCACTGAGTCAGTCACTGACTTACTGACTGACTCCACGCCGCCTTGCGTACGATGACACGGAGAGACGGCCTGCTGAGGGCCATGTTCAGCGGGCACTTGGAGGTGTTTACAGACAGCGAAGGTGGTGACTGGGAGGGTCTAGTCACTCACTCGCTCAGTCAGTCAGTCACTTAGTCACTCAGTCACTCACTCAGTCATTGAGTCACTCAGTCACTCACTCAGTCACTCAATCACTCACTCAGTCAGTCACTCAGTCACTCAGTCAGTCACTCACTCAGTCACTCACTCATTCACTCAATCACTCACTCAGTCAGTCAGTCACTCACTCAGTCACTCAGTCAGTCACTGAGTCAGTCACTGACTTACTGACTGACTCCACGCCGCCTTGCGTACGATGACACGGAGAGACGGCCTGCTGAGGGCCATGTTCAGCGGGCACTTGGAGGTGTTTACAGACAGCGAAGGTGGTGACTGGGAGGGTCTAGTCACTCACTCACTCAGTCAGTCATTGAGTCACTCAGTCACTCAATCACTCACTCAGTCACTCACTCAGTCAGTCACTCAGTCAGTCACTCACTCAGTCACTCAGTCACTCAGTCACTCACTCAGTCACTCACTCAGTCAGTCACTCACTCAGTCAATCAGTCACTCAGTCAGTCACTCAGCCAGTCACTCAGTCACTCACTCGCTAAGTCACTCAGTCAGTCGGTCACTCAGTCACTCAGTCAGTCACTCAGTCAGTCACTCAGTCCGTCACTCACTTAGTCAGTCACTCAGTCACTCGCTCACTGCCTCACCAACTCAGTCAGTCACTCACTCAGTCAGTCACTCAGTCAGTCGCTCACTCAGTCAGTCACTCAGTCACTCACTCAGTCAGTCACTCAGTCACTCACTCAGTCACTCACTCAGTCACTCAGTCGGTCACTCACTCAGTCACTCACTCAGTCACTCAGTCACTCACTCAGTCACTCAGTCACTCAATCATTCAGTCACTCACTCACTGAGTCACTCACTCAGTCAGTCAGCCAGCCACTCAGTCACTGAGTCACTCAGTCACTCACTCAGTCACTCACTCAGTCATTCACTCACTCAGCCACTCACTCAGTGACTCACTCAGTCAGTCACTCACTCAGTCACTCAGTCACTCACTCACTCACTGAGTCACTCACTCAGCCACTCACTCACTCAGTCATTCACTCACTCAGTCACTCACTCAGTCACTCACTCAGTCACTCAGTCACTCACTCAGTCACTCAGTCACTCACTCAGTCACTCACTCAGTCACTCAGTCACTCAATCACTCACTCAGTCACTCAGTCAGTCGCTCACTCAGTCAATCAGTCAATCACTCACTCAGTCACTCACTCAGTCACTCAGTCACTCAATCAGTCACTCAGTCACTCAGTCACTCGCTCACTCAGTCAGTCACTCACTCAGTCATTGAGTCACTCAGTCAGTCACTCACTCAGTCACTCACTCACTCAGTCAGTCATTGAGTCACTCACTCACTCACTGAGTCATTCACTCACTGAGTCATTCACTCAGTCACTCAGTCACTCACTCACTCAGTCACTCACTCAGTCACTCATTCAGTCACTCACTCAGTCACTCACTCACTCAGTCACTCACTCAGTCACTCACTCAGTCACTCACTCAGTCACTCAGTCATTCACTCAGTCACTCGCTCACTCAGTCACTCACTCACTGAGTCACTCACTCACTCAGCCACTCACTCACTCAGTCATTCACTCACTCAGTCATTCACTCAGTCACTCAGTCACTCACTCAGTCACTCACTCAGTCAGTCACTCGCTCACTCACTCAGTCACTCAGTCAGTCACTCAGTCACTCGCTCAGTCACTCACTCAGTCACTCATTCACTCAATCACTCAGTCACTCAGTCACTCGCTCACTCAGTCAGTCACTCACTCAGTCACTCACTCAGTCACTCACTCAGTCAGTCACTCAGTCACTCACTCAGTCACTGAGTCAGTCACTCACTCAGTCAGTCACTCAGTCAGTCACTCAGTCAGTCACTCAGTCAGTCAGTCACTCAGTCACTCACTCAGTCACTTACTCACTCAGTCACTCACTCAGTCATTCAGTCAGTCACTGAGTCAGTCACTGACTTACTGACTGACTCCACGCCGCCTTGCGTACGGTGACACGGAGAGACGGCCTGCTGAGGGCCATGTTCAGCGGGCACTTGGAGGTGTTTACAGACAGCGAAGGTGGTGACTGGGAGGGTCTAGTCACTCACTCGCTCACTCAGTCATTGAGTCACTCAGTCAGTCACTCACTCGCTCAGTCAGTCACTCACTCACTCAGTCACTCACTCAGTCATTGAGTCACTCAGTCACTCACTCAGTCACTCAGTCACTCACTCAGTCAGTCACTCAGTCACTCAGTCAGTCACTCACTCAGTCACTCACTCATTCACTCAATCACTCACTCAGTCAGTCAGTCACTCACTCAGTCACTCAGTCAGTCACTGAGTCAGTCACTGACTTACTGACTGACTCCACGCCGCCTTGCGTACGATGACACGGAGAGACGGCCTGCTGAGGGCCATGTTCAGCGGGCACTTGGAGGTGTTTACAGACAGCGAAGGTGGTGACTGGGAGGGTCTAGTCACTCACTCAGTCACTCACTCAGTCAGTCACTCACTCACCCAGTCACTCACTCACTCAGTCACTCACTCAGTCACTCACTCGCTCAGTCACTCAGTCAGTCACTCACTCAGTCAGTCACTCAGTCAGTCAGTCATTGAGTCACTCAGTCACTCAATCACTCAGTCACTCAATCACTCAGTCACTCAGTCACTCTGTCACTCACTCACTCAGTCACTCACTGAGTCACTCAGTCAGTCAGTCACTCAGTCACTCAGTCACTCAGTCACTTGCTCACTCACTCAGTCAGTCACTCACTCATTCACTCAGTCAGTCACTCATTCACTCAGTCAGTCACTCAGTCACTCGCTCAGTCAGTCACTCAGTCACTCACTCAGTCACTCGCTCAGTCACTCACTCAGTCACTCACTCAGTCAGTCACTCACTCAGTCACTCAGTCACTCGCTCACTCAGTCACTCAGTCACTCACTCAGTCACTCACTCAGTCACTCAGTCACTCAGTCACTCACTCAGTCACTCACTCAGTCACTCAGTCAGTCACTCAGTCACTCACTCAGTCATTCAGTCACTCATTCACTCAATCAGTCACTCAGTCACTCGCTAAGTCACTCACTAAGTCACTCAGTCACTCACTCAGTCACTCACTCGCTAAGTCACTCAGTCAGTCACTCAGTCAGTCACTCAGTCACTCAGTCACTCACTCAGTCACTCACTAACTCAGTCAGTCACTCAGTCACTCAGTCAGTCACTCAGTCAGTCACTCACTCAGTCACTCGCTCACTGCCTCACCAACTCACTCACTAAGTCACTCACTAACTCAATACTTCAACGCACTCACCAACTCGCTCACTAAGTCACTCACTACACCAACTCACTCATCAACTCACTAAGTCACTCACTACTTCACCAACTCACTCACCAACTCACTCACTAAGTCACTCACTGCCTCACCAACTCACTAAGTCACTCGCTAAGTCACTCACTAAGTAACTCACTACTTCACCAACTCACTCACTATGTCACTCCCTCACTGCCTCACCAACTCACTCACTAAGTCACTCACTAAGTCACTCGCTACTTCACCAACTCACTCACCAACTCACTCACTAAGTCACTCACTAAGTCACTCACTAAGTCACGAACTCGCTGACTCACTATCCACTCTCACACACTCACCAACCCCCTACCCACCCACCCATTCACCTACCCACTCACCTACCCACTCACCCACTCCTTCACCCACCCACTCCTTCACTCACCCACTCACCGACCCACTCCTTCACCCACCCACTCACTCATCCACTCACCTACCCACCCACTCACCTACCCACTCACTCACCTACCCACCCACTCACCTACCCACTCACTCACCTACCTACCCACCCACTCCTTCACCCACCAACTCCCTCACTCACCCACTCACCGACCCACTCCTTCACCTACCCACTCACTCTTCCACTCACCCATCCACTCACCTACCCACCCACTCACCTACCCACCCACTCACCTACCCACCCACTTACCTACCCACCCACTCACCTACTCATCCACTCACCTATCCACCCACTCACCTACCCACCCACTCACCCATTTACCCACCTACCCACCCACGCACTCCTTCACCCACCCACTCACCCATCCACTCACCTACCCACCCACTCACCCATTCACCCACTCACCTACCCACCCACTCACCTACCCACCCACTCACCTACCCACCCACTTACCCATTCACCCACTCACCTACCCACCCACTCACCTACCCACCTACCCACCCACTCACCTACCCACCCACTCACCTACCCACCCACTCACCCATTCACCCACTCACCTACCCACCCACTCACCTACCCACCCACTTACCTACCCACCCACTCACCTACCCACCCACTCACCCATTCACCCACTCACCTACCCACTCCCTCACCCACTCACCGACCCACTCCTTCACTCACCCACTCACTCAGCCACCCACCCACCCACTAACCTACCCACCCATTCACCCACCCACTCACCTACCCACCCACTCACCTACCCACCCACTCACCCATCCACCCACCCACTAACCTACCCATTCACCCACCCACTCACCTACCCACCCATTCACCCACCCACTCACCTACCCACCCACTCACCCATTCACCCACTAACCTACCCACCCACTCACCCACCCACCCACCTACCCAGGCTGGATCCTCATAGACCGCTGTGGCAAGCACTTTGGCACGCTGCTGAGCTACCTGAGGGATGGGTCGGTGGCGCTCCCACACAGCCGCAGGGCCCTGCAGGAGATCCTCACGGAGGCCCGCCACTACCTGCTGCAGGGCCTGGTGGAGGAGAGCCAGTTGGCACTGCAGGTACACAACCACCTCCACCGTTACCACCTCCACCACCACCAGCACCCCCACCACAACCACCACCACCAGCACAGCCACCACCACAACCACCAGCACCACCAGCACAACCAGCACCAGCAGCACCAGCACCACCACCAGCATTACCACCACCACCAGCACAGCCACCACCAGCACAACCACCACCACCACCAGCACCACCACCACCTCCACCACCTCCACCAGCACCACCAGCACCACCACCACAACCACCACCAGCACCACCACCAGCACAACCACCACCACAACCAGCATTACCACCACCTCCACCACCACCACCGCTACCACCACCCCCACCATTACCACCACCAGCACCACCACAACCAGCACCACCATCACCAGCACAACCACCAGCACCACCACCACCAGCACCACCACCAGCACCACCCCCACCACAACCACCAGCACCACTACCACCACCCCCACCACAACCACCACAACCACCAGCACCACCACCACTACCACCAGCACCACCACAACCAGCACCACCACCACCAGCACAACCACCAGTACCACTCCCACCACCACCAGCATTACCACCACCTCCACCACCCCCACCGTTACCACCACCCCCACCACAACCACCACAACCACCAGCACCACCACCACTACCACCAGCACCACCATTACCACCACCAGCACCACCATTACCACCACCAGCACCACCATTACCACCACCAGCACCACCATTACCACCACCAGCACCACCATTACCACCAGCACCACCATTACCACCACCAGCACCACGCACCACCATTACCACCATCAGCACCACCACCACCACCAGCACCACCATTACCACCACCAGCACCACCATTACCACCACCAGCACCACCATTACCACCACCAGCACCACGCACCACCATTACCACCATCAGCACCACCACCACCAGCACCACCACCACCAGCACCACCACCACTACCACCAGCACCACCATTACCACCACCAGCACCACGCACCACCATTACCACCATCAGCACCACCACCACCAGCACCACCACCACCAGCACCACCACCACCACCACTACCACCAGCACCACCATTACCACCACCAGCACCACCACCACCAGCACCACCACCACCACCAACAGTTGTGGTTGTGGACCATGTTCATAGTTGTGGTGGTGGTTGTTGTGGTGGTTGTGATTGATGTTTGAAGTTGTGGTGGTTGTGGTGGTGGTTGATGTGTATAGTTGTGGTGGTTGTGGTGGTGGTTGATGTGTATAGTTGTGGTGGTTGTGGTGGTGGTTGATGTGTATAGTTGTGGTGGTTGTGGTGGTGGTTGATGTTTATAGTTGTGGTGGTGGTTGATGTTTATAGTTGTGATGGTGGTTGATGTTTATAGTTGTGGTGGTGGTTGATGTTTATAGTTGTGGTGGTTGTGGTTGATGTTTATAGTTGTGGTGGTGGTTGATGTGTATAGTTGTGGTGGTTGTGGTGGTGGTTGATGTTTATAGTTGTGGTGGTGGTTGATGTTTATAGTTGTGGTGGTGGTTGATGTTTATAGTTGTGGTGGTGGTTGATGTTTATAGTTGTGGTGGTGGTTGTTGTGGTGGTTGTGATTGATGTTTGAAGTTGTGGTGGTTGTGGTGGTGGTTGATGTGTATAGTTGTGGTGGTGGTTGATGTTTATAGTTGTGGTGGTTGATGCATATAGTTGTGGTGGTTGTGGTGGTAGTGGTGGTGGTTATGGTGGTTGATGGTTATAGTTGTGGTTGTGGTGGTTGTGATTGATGTTTAAAGTTGTGGTGGTTGTGGTGGTGGTTGATGTTTATAGTTGTGGTGGTGGTTGTGGTGGTGGTTGTGGTGGTTGATGGTTATAGTTGTGGTGGTTGATGTTTATGGTTGTGGTGGTAGTGGTGGTGGTTGTGGTGGTTGATGGTTATAGTTGTGGTTGTGATTGATGTTTAAAGTTGTGGTGGTTGTGGTGGTGGTTGATGTTTATAGTTGTGGTGGTGGTGGTTGATGTTTATAGTTGTGGTGGTGGTTGTGGTGGTGGTGGCTGTGGTTGATGTTTATAGTTGTGGTGGTTGATGTTTATAGTTGTGGTGGTTGTGGTGGTTGTGGTTTATGTTTATAGTTGTGGTGGTGGTTGTGGTTGATGTTTATAGTTGTGGTGGTTGTGGTGGTTGTGGTTTATGTTTATAGTTGTGGTGGTGGTTGTGGTTGATGTTTATAGTTGTGGTGGTTGTGATTGATGTTTATAGTTGTGGTGGTTGCTGTTTATAGTCGTGGTGGTAGTGGTGGTGGTGGTTGTGGTGGTGGTGGTTGTGGTGGTGGTGGTTGTGGTGGTAGTGGTGGTGGTGGTGGTTGTGGTGGTAGTGGTGGTGGTGGTTGTGGTGGTTGATGTTTATAGTTGTGGTGGTTGTGGTGGTGGTTTCATGTGTATAGTTGTAGTGGTTGTGGTGGTGGTTGATGTTTATAGTTGTGGTGGTTGATGTTTATAGTTGTGGTAGTGGTGGTGGTTGTGGATGATGTTTATAGTTGTGGTGGTGGTTGTGGTGGCTGTGGTTGATGTTTATAGTTGTGGTGGTGGTTTATGTTTATAGTTGTGGTGGTTGCTGTTTATAGTTGTGGTGGTAGTGGTGGTTGTGGTGGTGGTTGCTGTTTATAGTTGTGGTGGTGGTGGTGGTTAATGTTTATAGTTGTAGTGGTTGTGATTGATGTTTATAGTTGTGGTGGTTGTGGTGGTTGTGATTGATGTTCATGGTTGTGGTGGTTGTGGTGGTTGTGATTGATGTTTATAGTTGTGGTTGTGGTGGTTGTGATTGATGTTTATAGTTGTGGTGGTTGTGGTGGTTGTGATTGATGTTCATGGTTGTGGTGGTTGTGATTGATGTTCATGGTGGTGGTGGTTGTGGTGGTTGTGATTGATGTTCGTGGTGGTGGTGGTTGTGGTGGTGGTGGTGGTTGTGGTGGTTGTGATTGATGTTTATAGTTATGGTGGTTGTGATTGATGTTCAAAGTTGTGGTGGTGGTTGTGGTGGTTGTGGTGGTTGTGGTGGTGGTTGATGTTTATAGTTATGGTGGTGTTGATTGATGTTCAAAGTTGTGGTGGTGGTTGTGGTGGTTGTGGTGGTGGTTGATGTTTATAGTTATGGTGGTTGTGATTGATGTTCAAAGTTGTGGTGGTGGTGGTTGTGGTGGTTGTGGTGGTGGTTGATGTTTATAGTTATGGTGGTTGTGATTGATGTTCAAAGTTGTGGTGGTGGTTGTGGTGGTGGTGGTGGTGGTGGTGGTTGTGGTGGTTGTGGTGGTGGTTGTCTGACAGCAGACCAAGCATCATTATGAGCCAATCTGCAAGATTCCGGTCATCACCTCCTCTAAAGAGGAGCAGCAGCTCATCACAGCCTCGCAGAAGGTGCCAACACCACCATCATCACCACCATCATCAACATCACCACCATCATCACCACCATCATCAACATCACCACCATCATCACCACCATCATCACCACCATCATCAACATCACCACCATCATCACCACCATCATCAACATCACCACCAACATCACCACCATCATCAACATCACCACCATCATCACCACCATCATCACCACCATCATCAACATCACCACCATCATCACCACCATCATCAACATCACCACCAACATCACCACCATCATCAACATCACCATCACTACCATCAACATCACTACCATCACCCATCATCATCACCATCATCAACATCACTACCATCAACATCACTACCATCACCACCATCATCAACATCATCACCACCATCATCAACATCACCACCATCATCATCACCATCATCAACATCACCACCAACATCACCACCATCATCAACATCACCATCACTACCATCAACATCATCAACATCACCACCAACATCACCACCATCATCAACATCACCATCACCACCATCACTACCATCAACATCACTACCATCACCATCATCATCACCATCATCAACATCATCAACATCACCACCATCATCACAACCATCATCAACATCACCACCAACATCACCATCATCATCAACATCACCATCACCACCATCACTACCATCACCACCATCACTACCACCACCACCATCATCACCACCATCATCACCATCACTACCATCATCACCATCACCACCATCATCAACATCGTCACCACCATCACCACCATCACTACCACCACCACCATCATCACCATCATCAACATCACCACCATCATCACCATCATCACCACCATCACTACCATCACCACCATCAACATCACTACCATCAACACCATTAACACCACCATCACCACCATCACGACCATCATCATCACCACCATCACCTCCACCACCATCACCACCATCATCAACATCATCACCATCACTACCATCAACATCACTACCATCACCCATCATCATCACCATCATCAACATCACTACCATCAACATCACTACCATCACCACCATCATCAACATCATCAACATCACCACCATCATCACAACCATCATCAACATCACCACCAACATCACCACCATCATCAACATCACCATCACCACCATCACTACCATCATCACCATCACTACCATCACCACCATCAACATCACTACCATCATCACCATCACCACCATCATCAACATCGTCACCACCATCACCACCATCACCACCATCACTACCACCACCACCATCATCACCACCATCATCACCATTACTACCATCATCACCATCACCACCATCATCAACATCGTCACCACCATCACCACCATCACTACCACCACCATCATCACCATCATCAACGTCACCACCATCATCACCATCATCACCACCATCACTACCATCACCACCATCAACATCACTACCATCAACACCATTAACACCACCATCACCACCATCACGACCATCACGACCATCATCATCACCACCATCACCTCCACCACCATCACCACCATCATCACCACCATAATCACCACCATCATCACCACCATCATCACCATCATCACCACCACCACCACCATCACTACCATCATCACCACCATCATCACCACCACCATCACCACCATCACCACCATTAACATCACCATCACCACCATCATCACCACCATCACCACCATCACTACTATCAACACTACCATCACCACCATCAACATCACCACCATCATCACCACTACCACCACCACCATCACCACCACCACCATCACCACCATCAACATCACTAACATCAACACCATCACCACCACCATCACCACCACCATCACCACCATCACTACCATCATCACCATCACCATCACCGCCATCATCACTGTCCATCTGTACACGTCTATATGTATGTCTCCATGTGTCTCTGTGTGTGTCTGTGTGTGTGTGTCTGTGTGTGTGTCTGTGTGTGTGTGTCTCTGTGTGTGTGTGTCTCTGTGTGTGTGTCTGTGTCTGTGTGTGTGTCTGTGTGTGTGTGTGTGTCTGTGTGTGTGTGTCTGTGTGTGTATCTATGTGTGTGTCTGTGTGTGTGTCTGTGTGTGTTTGTGTGCGTGTGTGTGTGCGTGTGTCACCGTATGTGTGTGTGTGGGGAGCGGTAGTGTAGTGGTTAGCGCTACGCTGCGCTATGAACCTGGCGACCCGGGTTCAATTCCCGCTCACGGCCAACACCAGTGACGATTATCTGAACCGGTCCCGGGCCTCCCCTAGGTCGACTCAGCCTCAAATGAGTACCTGGTGCGGTGTGTAGACATCGCCACTGGGGAGACAAAGGCGGTCGGGCGTGGTGCTGGCCACATACCCCCTCGTGTACCGATCCGGCCTTCATAGGTGCTCGCTAACAGCACTTGCCCCTACAGTCTGTTAAGGCTACACGGGGGATCTTTGTTTTGTCTGTGTGTGTATCTGTGTGTGTGTATCTGTGTGTGTCTGTGTGTGTGTATGTGTGTATCTGTGTGTGTCTAGCCGGTGGTGAAGCTGCTGTATAATCGCAGTAACAACAAATACTCCTACACCAGGTGAGTACACTCACCAGCTACACTCACCAGCTACACTCACCAGCTACACTCACCATGAGGGACAGACCCAGCAGGTGCCACGGGTTGACTGCTGCTGCTGTGCCAGGCTAGGTGCATGAGGAGGTCACGGGACAGACCCAGCAGGTGCCACGGGTTGACTGCTGCTGCTGTGCCAGGCTAGGTGGACCAGCTGTGCCCCCTACTGTGCCAACCTGCTATGCTTTAGCCACCCGGCGCTCCGCTCGTTGTTGTGAGCGTCGCTCCTCTGCCCTCCGCAGAGGAGCGACTGCCTCCAGCTGCCCAGTAGCCTCAAGGTGCACCTAGCCTGGCACCAGCCCCAGTGTAGCCTCACGGTGAACCTAGCCTGGCACTAGCCCCAGTAGCCTCACGCTGCACCTAGCCTGGCACCAGCCCCAGTAGCAGCAGCAGCGTCCTTCACGAACCACACCGCCACTCAGCTCCACATCCTCCCATATCACTCCATGTCCTCTTTAGCCTGTGCCACTCACTCACCCACTCACTCACCCACTCACTCACCCACTCACTCAACTACTCATTCACTCACCCACTCACTCACCCACCCACCCACTCACCCACCCACCCACTCACCCACCCACTCACCCACTCACCCACCCACCCACCCACTCACCCACCCACCCACCCACTCACCCACTCACTCACCTACTCATTCACTCACCCACTCACCCACCCACCCACCCACTCACCCACCCACTCACCCACCCACCCACTCACCCACTCACCCACCCACCCACTCACCCACCCACCCACCCACTCACCCACCCACCCACTCACCCACTCACCCACCCACTCACTCACCCACTCACTCACCTACTCATTCACTCACTCACCCACCCACTCACCCACCCACTCACCCACCCACCCACCCAATCACCCACCCACTCACTCACTCACTCACCCACCCACCCACTCACCCACTCACTCACCTACTCATTCACTCACCCACTCATCCACCCACCCACTCACCCACCCACCCACTCACCCACCCACCCACTCACCCACCCACTCACTCACCCACTCACCCACTCACTCACCTACTCATTCACTCACCCACTCACTCACCTACCCACCCACTCACCCACCCACCCACTCACCCACCCACTCACCCACTCACCCACCCACCCACCCACTCACCCACTCACTCACCTACTCATTCACTCACCCACTCACCCACCCACCCACCCACTCACCCACCCACCCACCCACCCACTCACCCACCCACCCACTCACCCACCCACCCACCCACTCACCCACCCACCCACTCACTCACCCACTCACCCACTCACCCACCCACCCACTCACCCACCCACTCACTCACTCACCCACTCACTCACCTACTCATTCACTCACCCACTCACCCACCCACCCACTCACCCACCCACTCACCCACCCACCCACTCACCCACCCACCCACTCACCCACCCACCCACTCACCCACTCACCCACCCACCCACTCACCCACCCACTCACTCATCCACCCACTCACTCACCCACTCACTCAGCTACTCATTCACTCACCCACTCACCCACCCACCCACTCACCCACCCACTCACCCACCCACCCACCCACTCACCCACCCACTCACTCACTCACTCACCCACCCACCCACTCACCCACTCACTCACCTACTCATTCACTCACCCACTCATCCACCCACCCACCCACCCACTCACCCACCCACTCACCCACCCACCCACTCACCCACTCACTCACCTACTCATTCACTCACCCACTCATCCACCCACTCACCCACCCACCCACTCACCCACCCACTCACTCACTCACTCACCCACTCACCCACTCACTCACCTACTCATTCACTCACCCACCCACTCACCCACCCACCCACTCACTCACTCAACCACCCCCCCACTCACCCACCCACTCACTCACCCACCCACTCACTCACCCACCCACTCACTCACCCACCCACTCAGCACTTGCTCCAACAGTCTGTCCGGGCTATACGGGCGATCTTTGTCTTTGTGTCCCTATGCGAGTGTCTCTGTGTGAGTCCAAGGCGGTGTGTGTCTGTCTCTCTCTGTAGGTGTCTGTCTCTGTGTGTGTGTCTCTCGTCTGTGTCTGTCTCTCTCTGTGTCTCTCTGTGTCTCTCTGTGTGTGTCTGTGTGTCAGTGGCCTGGCACAAGCGTCGTGGTGACGTCACCGCCACTTAGTGGCGAATGGCGGTTGTTGTTGTGTCAGTGTACATGTCAGTGTCTGTGTGCGTGTGTTTGTCTGTGTGTGTGTGTCTGTGTGTGTGTGTGTCTGTGTGTGTGTCTGTGTGTGTGTCTGCTTTATTGACCTGGTCAAGGCCTATGATACCATCAGTAGGCCTGGGCTCTGGGTTGTTCTTCGTGCTTTTGGAGTCCCTGACCCTCTGCTCACGATCATTAAGGACCTTCATGATGGTGAGCGGGCCCGGGTAAAACTACGTGGCCGGGAGTCAGAGCCCTTCCCTGTACACCTTAGGGTGCGACAGGGATGTCCTCTGGCTCCCACATTATTTAACATCTATTTTGACCATGTAGTTCGTGAAGCCTTCAATAGCTGTACCGGGGGAATCTCCATTTGGTACAGATATAATGGGAGGCTGATCGATGCCCGTCTGTGTGTGTATCTGTGTGTCTGTGTGTGTCTGTGTGTGTGTCTGTGAAAAAAACAACCCCCTACCTCCTCGCGGTGCCGGACGGGCAACTCTGTCGTGGACAGCGCTGTGGGGGGAGATCCAATTTTGATTGGCTCCTCCCCTCATGGCATATGTGTCCACCACAGGGGCTAAACGGGGGCTCTGGATGGGTGCGAGGGGCTGGTAACCCCTTCACCTTCAATTAATTACCACGAAACCACGAATTAAACTGAAATATGTAACAAATAAGCTTGTGCCGGAGGCCCCGGGGGGCCAGGCGTCTATGACGTCTCCTGGCCAAACCCCAATTGGCGGAGCCAGGAGATTGAATACCTACCCTCGGGGCTACTCCAGAAACAACGAAAAGCCACTACGGGTGGCCACGTGGAATGTTCGAACGCTCACTGCAGAGGAGAGGCTGCCACTCCTCTGTCGGGAGCTGGACCGGTACCCGCCTGGATCTATGCGGCATTCAGGAGGTCCGGTGGACCGGCTCTGGCTCCTGCCACCATGAGGGGTGGACAGTCCTCTACTCGGGGCAGCAGACTGCCAAACAACAGGGTGTGGGTCTTCTTTTGAACAAAAGAATGAAGGGGGCGTGGGAGCGTGGCGGTGAGGTGTGGGAAGCTGTAAGCCCCAGGCTACTTTGGGCTCGCCTTCCCATCAACCGGAGGCGAGGAATGGTGGTCGTGGTTACTTATGCCCCCACCGAAGATGAACATCCGTGGAGGGATGCAGGCAAAGCCGATGAGTCAGATAGCTTCTATGACCTCCTGTCACAGGTGCTGGCTAAAGTGGCCCCTCGGGATAGTCAATGTTGGGTGACTTCAATGCCTGAGTTGGTCATGATACTGGCACCTGGTCTGGAGTGATTGGAGGGCATGGGCCAGATCAGCTCAATAACAACGGTAGGAGGCTGCTAGATTTTTGTGCAGCCCATGGGATTGTAATTACCAACACGCTGTTCCGGCATCGGCGCATCCACACAACATCATGGATGCATGCCGGGTCCAAGCAAGAACATCTGCTGGACTACATAGTGACGGACCAGCGAATGCGAGCCCATGTCCTTGACACCAGGACCTACCGTGGAGCTGATCTGCCCTCTGACCATCGACTAGTCATCTGTAAGATGCGCCTGCCATTCTTCCACTCCGGTGGTGGGTGTACACCCAGGACCCCATTCCAACCTAAAGTGGCCTAGTCTCAGTTATCTGATGAAAGTTGCAAGCGAGAATTTCATCATCGCTTGCGGCTGGGATTGGCATCGTCCCCGACTCCTCCTGATGTCGAGGGTAAATGGGCGAGGTTTAGGACTGTGACTCATGCAGCTGCAATGGCTGCTTTGGGTACGCGGTCCAGACCTCCCCAGACACCCTGGCTGACAGAGGAGGTGTTCAGGATGGTTGAGAAAAAGCGACAGGCCCACTGTCATCGGCTACAGAATCCCACGTCAGAGAATGAGGAGGCTTACCGCAGCCTTCGCTCGGAGGTTCGGAGAGCCGTGAGGCGCTGCAAGGATGGGTGGTGGTCGCGGGTTGCTGAGGAGATGGAGTCTGCCTCAGTGGCCCGTGATCACAAATCTCTATTTAACTCCATCAAAAAAGTAACCTGCAGCACCACACCTATTACCATCATTAGGGGAAAAAACGGTGATCCAATTTCCGACCCCCAGGAACAGGTTCGCAGATTTGCTGAGCATTTCTGTGAGGTCCTGGGGGAGGGAAAATCCCTCAGCCAGGAAAACATCGTGGCACAAAGTGAGGATGACCCTGCTGAGGCTGCGGTGCCTCAAATATTGGATGAAGTCACCCCCTGTGAGTGGCTGGCTGAGGTGCCATCTGCTGAGGAAGTATTGAAGGCGATCCGGAGTCTGAGACCAGGAAAGGCAGCGGGCAGAGATGATCTCCCAAGCGAAATGCTGAGGGAGGGTGGCGTTTGTGCACAGACTGCCCTATATGACATCATAACAACAGTCTGGACCACTGGATGGGTTCCGCAGGATTGGAAGGATGCCCTGGTGGTCCCCCTTTTTAAGAAGGGGGACCGCACAGACTGTAACAACTACAGGGGCATCTCACTCCTCAGTGTGCCGGGAAAGGTCCTGGCAAGGATTATTCAGCATCGCCTTGCCAGGCACGCTGAGGAGAGGCTTGCGGAGCCCCAATGCGGTTTCAGGAAAGGGCGGTCCTGCACAGATGCCATATTTTCTGTCCGTCTGCTACAGCAGAGGTGTAGGGAATTCCAACAAGACCTACATCTCTGCTTTATTGACCTGGTCAAGGCCTATGATACCATCAGTAGGCCTGGGCTCTGGGTCGTTCTTCGTGCTTTTGGAGTACCTGACCCTCTGCTCACGATCATTAAGGACCTTCATGATGGTGAGCGGGCCTGGGTAAAACTACGTGGCTGGGAGTCAGAGCCATTCCCTGTACACCTTGGAGTGCGACAGGGATGTCCTCTGGCTCCCACATTATTTAACATCTATTTTGACCACGTAGTTCGTGAAGCCTTCAATAGCTGTACCGGGGGAATCTCCATATGGTACAGATATAATGGGAGGCTAATCGATGCCCGGGTGTGGTCAAGGGATGGCTCCCTATTGCTCAACCACGTTATGTATGCTGATGATTTGGTAATAGCTGCTCAGTCAGAGGAGTTGGAGACGCTGCTGCTGAGACTGGAGCGTGCCACTAAGAGGTGGGGCCTTACCATCAGCCCCACCAAAACTAAGCACCTGCCTGGGTATTTTGTACCATCGGACACTCCACCCCCACAACTCCCAATCGGTGATGGGGCAGTTGTGGAGAGAGTGGAGAGTTTCCCATACCTGGGCAATGTGCTTATGACTGGCTCCAGTTTAACAGCAGAGGTCTCACTCCGAATCAGTCGAGCGGCAATATCTTTTCATCGGTTGCGTAACGCTGTGTGGAAGCTACCTGGTCTGTCGCTCCGCACTAAGCTTCAGGTCTTCTCGGCCACGGTCATTCCCTCCCTTCTCTACGCTTGCGAAACGTGGACCCCCCTAATAGAACATCTTCGCCGGTTAGAAACATTTAGGCTGGCCTGCCTACGATCCATCCTGGGTTTAACCAGACTGGATTGTGTGAGGAGCTCACAAATCCTTGAAAGATCTGGGCAGGGTCCCATCGGTGAGCTCCTCCGGCAGGCAAGGCTGCGATGGCTGGGTCATGTAGCCCGCATGCCCAGCCACCGCATGCCGAAACAGCTTTTGTTTGGCCGGATTGAGGGGGCTAAGCGGGCGCGGCACGGGCTAGAGAAGAGATGGAGTGATGTGGTACAGGAGGACGTGGAGCTGAGTGGACTTGCCGATGACTGGTACCAGCGGTGTCAAGATCGGCCTCTGTGGAGGAGGCTCGTGAAGGATGCTACTGGGCAGTTGGAGGCAGTCGCCCTCCAACAACAACGGAGGGCGGAGGAGCGACGCTCAGAACAACGAGCGGAGCGCCGGGTGGCTAAAGCACAGCAGGTTGGCACAATAGGGGGCACAGGTGGTGCATCAGCCAGTCATCTCAGTCAGTCGACCCGTGGCACCTGGGTCTGCCCCGTGACCTCCTGCCAGCGGGCGTTCGACACTTCACGTGGCCTCAGGGTGCACATAGCCTGGCACAAGCGTCGTGGTAACGTCACCGCCACTTAGTGGCGAATGGCGGTTGTTGTTGTTGTTGTGTCTGTGTGTGTGTCTGTGTGTGTGTGTCGTCTGTGTGTCTGTGTGTGTGTGTGTCTGTGTGTGTGTGTGTCTGTGTGTGTATGTATGTATGTGTGTGTCTGTGTGTGTGTCTGTGTCTATCTACTCAGCATGTCGGACGACAACACCCTCAAGAACATCGAGCTCTTTGACAAGCTGTCTCTGCGATTCAACGGCCGCGTGCTCTTCATCAAGGACGTGATCGGCGACGAGATCTGCTGCTGGTCCTTCTACGGCCTGGGGCGCAAGATAGCGGAGGTGTGCTGCACCTCCATCGTCTACACCACCGAGAAGAAGCAGACCAAGGTGCCGCACGGTCACGTGACCACTGCCGCCCCCCCACTCTCGCGCACGGTCACGTGACTACTGCCGTTCCCCTCTCACGCACGGTCACGTGACCACTGCCGCCCCCCCCCCCTCTCGCGCACGGTCACGTGACTACTTCCGCCCCCTCTCATGCACGGTCACGTGACTACTGCCGCCCCCTCTCATGCACAGTCACGTGACTACTGCCGTTCCCCTCTCAAGCATGGTCACGTGACTACTGCCGCCCCCCTCTCTCACGCACTGTCACGTGACCACTGCCGCCCCCCCCTCTCCCGCACGGTCACGTGACTACTGCCGCCCCCCCCTCTCGCGCACGGTCACGTGACTGCTGCCGCCCCCTCTCAAGCACGGTCACGTGACCACTGCCGCCCCCCTCTCACGCACGGTCACGTGACTACTGCCGCCCCCCCTCTCGCGGTCACGTGACCACTGCCGCCCCCCTCTCACGCACGGTCACGTGACTACTGCCGCCCCCTCTCAAGCATGGTCACGTGACCACTGCTGCCCCCTCTCACGGTCACGTGACTACTGCCGTTCCCCTCTCACCTGTCTCTCGCACAGTCACGTGACTGCTGCCGCCCCCTCTCACACACGGTCACGTGACCACTGCCGCCCCCCCGCCTCGTCTCAGGTGGAGTTTCCAGAGGCCCGCATCTACGAGGAGACCCTCAACTGCTGTACCAGGTCACGTGACCACTGCCGCCCCCCCCTCTCACTCACGGTCACGTGACCACTGCCGTTCCCCCTTCTCGCGGTCACGTGACCACTGCCGCCGCCCCCTCTCACTCACGGTCACGTGACCACTGCCGCCCCCCCTGCCCCCCGCCTCGTCTCAGGTGGAGTTCCCGGAGGCCCGCATCTACGAGGAGACCCTCAACATCCTGCTGTACCAGGTCACGTGACCACTGCCGCCCCCCCCGCCCCCCGCCTCGTCTCAGGTGGAGTTCCCGGAGGCCCGCATCTACGAGGAGACCCTCAACATCCTGCTGTACCAGGTCACGTGACCACTGCCGCCCCCCCGCCTCGTCTCAGGTGGAGTTCCCGGAGGCCCGCATCTACGAGGAGACCCTCAACATCCTGCTGTACCAGGTCACGTGACCACTGCCGCCCCCCCCTGCCCCCCGCCTCGTCTCAGGTGGAGTTCCCGGAGGCCCGCATCTACGAGGAGACCCTCAACATCCTGCTGTACCAGGTCACGTGACCACTGCCGCCCCCTCCGCCCCCCGCCTCGTCTCAGGTGGAGTTCCCGGAGGCCCGCATCTACGAGGAGACCCTCAACATCCTGCTGTACCAGGTCACGTGACCACTGCCGCCCCCCCGCCTCGTCTCAGGTGGAGTTCCCGGAGGCCCGCATCTACGAGGAGACCCTCAACATCCTGCTGTACCAGGTCACGTGACCACTGCCGCCCCCCCGCCTCGTCTCAGGTGGAGTTTCCGGAGGCCCGCATCTACGAGGAGACCCTCAACATCCTGCTGTACCAGGTCACGTGACCACTGCCGCCCCCCCGCCTCGTCTCAGGTGGAGTTCCCGGAGGCCCGCATCTACGAGGAGACCCTCAACATCCTGCTGTACGAGGCCCGCGATGGCCGACACGGCCCAGACAACGCCCTGCTGGAGGCCACGGGCGGTGCGGCCGGGCGGCCCAACGCCGACGCCGCCGCCCCCGACGACGACGAAGAGCAGCAGCAGCAGCAGCAGCAGCTGGAGGTGGAGCAGCAGCAGCAGCAGCTGGAGCAGCAGCAGCTGGAGGTGGAGCAGCAGCTACAGCAGCAGCAGCAGCTGGAGCAGCAGCAGCAGCAGCAGCAACAGCAGCAGCAGCAACAGCAGCAGCAGCAGCAGCGGCGAGTGGGCAGAGTTCGCAGGATCCACGTCAAGAGGCTGGACGAGCGTTCGCATCATCATCAGCAGCAGTAGTGGTGGTGTGGTGTGAGTGGTGTGGGTGGTGTGGGGAGAGTGGTGTGGTGTGGGTGGGGTGGTGTGAGTGGTGTGGGTGGTGTGGGTGGTGTGGGGAGAGTGGTGTGGTGTGGGTGGGGTGGTGTGAGTGGTGTGAGTGGTGTGGGTGGTGTGGGGAGAGTGGTGTGGTGTGGGTGGGGTGGTGTGAGTGGTGTGGGTGGTGTGGGTGGTGTGGGTGGTGTGGGTGGTGTGGGTGGTGTGGGTGGTGTGTGGTGTGGTGTGGTGTGGGGAGAGTGGTGTGGTGTGAGTGGTGTGGGTGGTGTGAGTGGGTGGGGTGAGTGGTGTGAGTGGTGTGAGTGGTGTGATTAGTGTGGGTGGTGTGGGTGGGTGATGTGGATGGTGGTGGCGTGGTTAAGAGACGTTGCAAGTCCCGTCGGCCATGTTGTGTGGGGGGTTTGATGTCACGTCGGCCATGTTGTGTAGGTGTGTCACATGGGTCATGTGGCGTAGGGGTGTCACGTCGGCCATGTTGTGTGGGGGGTGTAATGTCACATCGGCCATGTTGTGTGGGGGGTTTGATGTCACGTCGGCCATGTTGTGTAGGTGTGTCACATGGGTCATGTTGCGTAGGGGTGTCACGTCGGCCGTGTTGCGTGGGGGGGGGGGGGGGTGATGTCACGTTGGCCATGTTGCTTAGGGGGGGTATCACGTCGGCCATGTTTGTAAAGTTGTTTCTTAGTGTGGGGAGCGGTGGCGCAGCGGTTAGCGCGCTGCGCTACCAACCTGGGCAGAGACCCAAGTTCGATTCTCACTCAGGACCACCACCACAACCACCACAACTGCCACACCACACCTACCACTACCACCACACCTACCACTACCACCACCACACCCACCACTACCACCACAACTGCCACAACTACCACTACAACCACCACCACAACTACCACCACCACTACCACAACCACTACAACCACCACCACACCTACCACCACCACACCCACCACTACCACCACCACTACCACCACACCCACCACTACCACCACAACTACCACCACCACTACTCGCTACTAACAGCACTTGCCCCTACAGCCCTGCTAGAGGCTACCTGGGGGAACTTTGTCTGTGTGTGTATCATAGGTGGTGCTACTCGCTACTAGCAGCACTTGCCCCTACAGTCCTGCCACAGGCTACCTGGGGGAGCTTTGTGTGTACAAGTGAGTAGGTGAATGAGTGAGTAGGTGAGTATGAGAGGGTGTGTGTGTGTGTGTGAGACTGGGGGAGAGACAAAGGCGGCCGGGCGTGGTGGTGGTGGTGGCCACCCACCCCCTCTGTGTGTAGCCAAGGTGCCGGTAGCCTTCATAGACGCTGCTGCTGCTACTAACAGCACTTGCCCCTACAGCCCTGCTAGAGGCTACCTGGGGGAGCTTTGTCTGTGTGTGTATCATAGGTGGTGCTGCTAGCAGCACTTGTCCCTACAGCCCTGCTAGAGGTTACCTGGGGGAGCTTTGTGTGTGTGTGTATCATAGGTGCTGCTACTCGCTACTAGCAGCACTTGCCCCTACAGCCCTGCTAGAGGCTACCTGGGGGAGCTTTGTCTTTGTGTGTACATCATAGGTGCTGCTACTCGCTACTAGCAGCACTTGCCCCTACAGCCCTGCTAAATGCTACCTGGGGGAGCTTTGTAGTTGTGAGTTGCGTCTGTGAGCACAGGAGGGGAGTGATCACGATGTTGTCTGAGATCGGCGAGGATTGAGGGGGGCGAGCGGGATTCAGGCGATGTGTGCCTGCTGCATCAGCGTTTGTATTATTAAATATCGCACACTTATGTCTGTCTGCCCATCCCTCCTGTCACGCTCGCTCACCCGCTCACTCGTACACTCACCCGCTCACTCGTACACTCACCCGCTCGCTCACCCGCTCGCTCACCCGCTCGCTCACCCGCTCGCTCACCCGCTCACTCGCTCACTCACCCGCTCACCTACTCAATCGTACACTCACTTGTACACTCACTCACCCACTTACTCACACATCACCCACTCACTCGTACACTCACTCGCTCACTCACCCGCTCACTCACCCACTCAATCGTACACTCACTTGTACACTCACCCACACATCACCCACTCACTCGTACACTCACTCGCTCACTCACTCGCTTGTAAACTCACCCGCTCACTCGCTCGTAAACTCACCCGCGCTCACCCACCCACTCACCCACTCAATCGTACACTCACTCACCCACTCATTCACACATCACCCACCCACTCGTACACTCACCCGCTCACCCACTCAATCGTACACTCACTTGTACACTCACCCGCTCACTCGCACACTCACCCGCTCACTCGTACACTCACCCGCTCACTCATCCACTCAATCGTACACTCACCCGCTCACTCAATCGTACACTCACTTGTACACTCACTCACCCACTCAATCGTACACTCACTCACCCACTCAATCGTACACTTACTCATCCCCTTACTCGCTCACCCGCTCACTCGTACACTCACCCACTCACTCGCACACTCGCTCACCCACTCACTCACCCACTCACTCGTACACTCGCTAGCTTGTACACTCACCCGCTCACTCGTACACTCACCCGCTCACTAGTACACTCGTACACTCACCCGCTCACTCACCCACTCGCTCACCCGCTCACTCGTACACTCACTCGTACACTTGCTAGCTTGTACACTCACCCGCTCACTCGTACACTCACCCGCTCACTCACCCACTCGCTCACCCGCTCACTCGCTCACTCACCCGTACACTCGCTAGCTTGTACACTCACCCGCTCACTCGTACACTCACCCGCTCACTCACCCACTCGCTCACCCGCTCACTCGCTCACTCACCCGTACACTCGCTAGCTTGTACACTCACCCGCTCACTCGTACACTCACCCACTCACTCGTACACTCGCTCACCCGCTCACTCGTACGTCGCTAGCTTGTACACTCACTCAGTCCCTCACCCGCTCACTCGCTCGTACACTCACCCGCTCACTCATAGAACTCGCTCACTCACTCGTACACTCACTCACCCACTCACTCGTACACTCGCTCACCCACTCACTCACCCACTCACTCGTACACTCGCTCACCCACTCACTCGTACACTCGCCCACTCGTACACTCGCTCACTCGTACACTCGCTCACTCGTACACTCACTCACCCGCTCACTCGTACACTCGCTCACCCACTCACTCGTACACTCGCTCACTCGTACACTCGCTCACCCACTCACTCGTACACTCGCTCACTCGTACACTCGCTCACCCACTCACTCGTACACTCGCTCACCCACTCACTCGTACACTCGCTCACTCGTACACTCGCTCACCCACTCACTCGTACACTCGCTCACCCACTCACTCGTACGCTCGCTCACTCGTACACTCGCTCACCCACTCACTCGTACACTCGCTCACCCACTCACTCGTACGCTCGCTCACTCGTACACTCGCTCACCCGCTCACTCGTACACTCGCTCACCCACTCACTCGTACGCTCGCTCACTCGTACACTCGCTCACCCACTCACTCGTACACTCGCTCACCCACTCACTCGTACGCTCGCTCACTCGTACACTCGCTCACCCGCTCACTCGTACACTCGCTCACCCACTCACTCGTACGCTCGCTCACTCGTACACTCGCTCACCCGCTCACTCGTACACTCGCTCACCCGCTCACTCGTACGTCGCGAGCTTGTACACTCACTCAGCCCCTCACCCGCTCACTCGCTCGTACACTCACCCGCTCACTCATAGAACTCGCTCACCCTCTCACTCACCCACTCGTACACTCGCTCACCCACTCACTCGTACACTCGCTCACCCACTCACTCGTA